CTGGCAGGTGTTCCTTGGAACCCTGAGAGCTGCTGATAGCTTTGGCTCCTCAGTGGCATGTGGCTTACTGAGGCTGATTGTTGTCCTGCACTACAAATGTGAGTATTTTGCTTCTACAAAGTCTGACATGGTTCATGATTTTCAGCCAAAGCGGGAGCAGGGGCAGGTGTGGTGCCACCAAGACCAGGCCTCTTCAACCAGCCTCCTCCTGTTCATGGTGCAGGTGGCATAGGGGTGCCAGAACAGCCACCTAACCAGATCCTCTTCCTCACCAACCTTCCTGATGAAACCTCAGAAATGATGTTGTCTATGCTCTTTACACAGTAAGTTCAGGCTTCTCTTTCTTATGGAATTTTTTTCTACCATTTGCCATGTTTGAGCCTTTGTATATTTATATAACCTTAAAACACTTAATAGTAGGAAAATGAATATAAATAACTGGAAAATCGATATAGATCATATTGTTTAGTGATTCATGAAAAGAATGAAGGGAAAGTAAGGATTAGTAATGAAATGTCATTCATTTTAAACTTTACCTTCCCAGATTCCCTGGTTTCAAGGAAGTACGACTTGTACCTGGACGCCATGACATTGCCTTCGTGGAGTTTGAGAATGAAATGCAGTCTGCAGCTGCCAAGGATGCGCTACAGGGCTTCAAAATTACACCCACACATGCCATGAAAATAGCTTTTGCAAAGAAGTAAAAACATCAAGCAACTCTAATTATAGATATTCACATGATAGATAATTCTTTTAATTCCAGTTTCTTCTTTTCTTTGTTCTTCTTCCTTCATCTTTTTCTTTCTTTCTTTTCTCCTTGATTTTTTTTTTGGGGGGGGGGCTAGAAACTATTTCTTACCTGACTAAGGATGCAATTTAGAAGCATTGTTTTAATTCTAATAATTGTATCCTTCATTTTGGGTTTTCATATCAGATTCATTGAAGTATATCTATACCTGAAGTTGCAAGGCAAAATTCCATTTTATTCATTACTCTAAGTGCATCCTTGTCGCCTAAGAATAAACAAAAGATGGAAAGATGTCTGAGAAAATGTAATTATTCAACAGTTACTTGTACATTTTTCTTTGTTTAAGCCTTTCCTTGTTGGAGAGGATCATTGAGTCTGTCTGTATTTTTTACATTTTTCTTTAAGAAAGATTGTTAAATTGACTCGTATGGCTTTTGTATGTAATCAGAAGCAGTCAGTGGCTATTAAATAAATTATAAATAGACAAGTTCTTTGTTTTTATGAGGGATCAGTTGCTTTAAATGTATATAATAGTTCCATGTACATATTTTAAGAGGCATTATTCATTTTATGGTATGAAAGTAACCAAGGAATTAAGAATAGTGGAAACAGTTGTCAAAATGCTGTGATTTCAAGGCATATGCTGTCAGTTGCCAACCTTGCAGTTACTTTGCAGCTCCAGATATCTCCTTTACACCAGGTACCGTCTAAACAAGTCAGTGATCTTGACAATTTACATATTGATAAAATGCCAGGAACCCTTTAACCCCTTAGTGACAGGTACTTCAACAGCTCTAGCAAGCAAGCGGGTGGGCTAACTCTACACCGCACACACCCTGCCAGAAAAGCTAGACTTGCTTAATAATTACATCACAGAAAACTTTGGCCCCATTATGATGCGGTTAAAGAAGTCATCATGATCTCAAATGTTTTCAGTCTCTATCCAGGAATATTCCTTTTCTGAACAAAATGATGTGTACAACAGTCACCCTTCATGGATTAATTGCCTGTAGTATAATAACAATATTTGTTTTATTTTATGTGAAGAGCTATCAATATTAATATGAAAATACTGAAATTGGTAATGGAGACGCAACCTTTAAGTAAACATGTTGATAATACACTATGGAAGATCTTTAATCCATTGGTTGCAAAGACCATAAATGTTTAAAATAAGTTGAATGGTTGAAAAGTAAATATTTTTCTAAGATTAATCCAGCATGCTAGATTAACTCATTCATACCAGGTATATGTACAGTCCACTGTAACATTTGTAAATTTGTTTACACAGATAGCTTCACAAGCACTTCTGTCATCATTAACTCAATTATTAGGCCTATCTAATAACTACATTTACCTCATTCTTTAAATTTCCAGGAACTTTTCATTTACTTGTTTATTTTTTACTTGGAGTGTTCTTTATATTCTTATCACTCATCATTCATTATCATAAGGTTATTAACAATATTTGTAGTAATAAAAATAAAAACGTTGCTTTCCAAAAATTCATGGAATAGATTAAAGAACTGAGATCAGTTAAACCTAGGAAGCATGGTACCTAAGCCCTTGTGGCCCTCTTAAGCCCTTGCTGTTTCTTGTGGGGAGGCTTAGGAGACAGAGACTGAGGCCCAATGTAGGGGATCACCATTACCTCGGGCCTTAGCCCTCGCCTCAACTAATTTTGCATGGTCTTTTCTTCTTCACCTTTCCTTTTCCTTCTCATCTTTATCTCTTTTTTTTTTTTTTTTTTTT